AGGGACTGTGTTCTGACCAGGAGCCGGAAGGAGGGCACGCTCTCTCCCTCTCTCTCTCTCCCTCTCTCCCCTTCTCTCTCTCTCTCTCTCTCTCTTTCTCTCTCTCTCTCTCTCCCCCTCCTCTTCCCTTCCCTTTTCCTCCCTCCTTCCCTCCTTTTTTTGAGCCAAGATCTCCCTCTGTACTCCAGGCCAGCCTTAAACTATGTAGCCCTCACTGGCCTCAAACTTGCGATCCTCCTGCCTCAGCCTCCTGAGAGCCTGAATTACAGGCGCAGGCCACCACCCCGCCAATCTGTTTGTCCACGTAGAGGGGCAGAGGGGCCAGGCAGTGACCTCAGAGCCATGAACATAACTCTGAAGATGCAGCCTGTGTGCCCAGGGACCCCCTTGCTCAGGAGCCTCTGTGTCCCCCTTGGCCCAGGTGGCCCTGTGCTGGCTCGGGCTGGGCCTTGGAAGCCGGTCTGTCCTGTACTGGCGGCCAGTGTGCGTGGGGGGGGGCACAGACACGGGAGGGAGGCAGCTGCAGAGCCTGCACACCAGGGGACCCTGTAGCTTCCCACCAGGCGGTGTTGGCCACACCTGCAGCAGAGCCCCCTGGGGCTCTTTGAACTGTTTAGATAATCGCCCTCTTTGTCCATTTGGCCTGGCTGGTGTGGCCCGGCAGGGTGGACACCCGGGTCACTGCCCGTTATTCCATATGGAGCCGGCAGGCCGCAGGTAGCGTTTGTCGTCAGTGGCTTTTCAGCCGAGAGTCGCAGGGACCCAGCGTCTGGGGGGCCGCAGGCCCGGGATTCAGGTCCACCTCTACTCTGGGGTTCACAGCCCCACTCAGCCTCCTTAGCGAGAAAAGAATCCCTGCAAGAGAAACAAAAAGAGCATTCGTTCCGATCGATCGTTGCATAGGCAAAACGGCCCATTTGGCCCCATCTGTGCGGCTGCACTGGTCGGCTGTTGCCCTCTGCGGGAGCTTGTGATGGGCTAATCTGCCATCGGCCCCCAAGTCCCCAAGGCCCCTGCTCACCGAGGCACGGGGGAGAACGGCCCGCCGGGGCCCCTCTTCACCCCACCCGCGTAGCCCCGCAGCCTGTGCGGAGGAGCCAGACCCGTGCCGGCCACCGAAGCGCGGGGCTTTCCTGCCTGTCGGGCAGAGCCTGAGCCTTCACCTTTCATAAAAACCTGGCATAAGCAGCAGGTTCGACGCGAGGTGGATGATTGGAAAAACGAGTGGTGGGCGCGCCCGCACCCGCGCCCCGGGCTTCTCCCCACGCAGGTTCGCGGGCGCAGCGGCTGCCCAGGCCCCGGCTGCGCCGGCAGAGGACGGGGCACTGCGGCCGCGGCAGCGGGCGGCCGGGAGCACGCGCTCTGCACCCGCTCCTGGGCCTTGGGCACCGGTCTTGGGACGGAGCCAGGAGGGCGGCTGAGTTGGGTAGCACCTTGCCAGCGGGGCACCGGGGGGGGGGGCGGCGGAGGCCCCTTCCCGGCCGCCCGGCCGCCCTCGGCGGCGTCGCCGCTCCCCTGCCCAGCTTCTCGCCCCAGGCTCCCAGGTCGCCCTTGCCCCCCGCCGGCGGCAGCAGCGGGGGCCTGGGCCCCTGCGCGCCTCCCCGGGTGGTCGCGGTGCGACCTTTCCTCGCTGGCGGGGAAGGGGTGGAAGCCCCAGGCTTCGGCGTAGCGGGGGCTGGGGCTCCCTGAGGCCGCCCAGACTCCGCGCCACTTGGCGCCTCCAGGCCGGGACAGCAGGGCGCTGCGCGAGCTCCGAGCGCCCCCTACCGCCCGCCCCATGACCCTGGGTGCAGCCAGGCCTTGACCCTCGGTGGCAGGGGGTCCAGGGAAGGACCAGGTCACTGCAGGGGTCCCCAGGGCCTGGCCCCTGCTTCCGCGCGGACGCCCAGGTACAGGCGGGGCTCTTTCTTGTCCCTGGAGCCAGCCGGGGTGACTTGGGATTGGGACTCAGAGCCACAGGCTCCGCATTCCTTCCAGGCAGCCCCTTTGAATGGACACAAGGTACGGAAAAGCAAGGC